AATAGAGAATGGCAATGACAGGGATTGGTGGGTTTTTAAATTCTTTTATTAGATATAATGGTTAAAAAAGGAGGACGTGACGTGTGAGCTGAGCCTGGAAGGGAGGATCCAGCCCTGCAGGCGACTGGAGCCGCAGTCCCCCCAGTCACAGGAACTGGGACACAGCGAGCAAGAGGCCGTGGGGGGCGAGGGAAGAGCAGAGACGGCCTTGGCATGTGCTTGCGTTTGGCCACTTGCAGGCTGTGTGATCTTGGGTGTGCTGCTTCACTTCTCTGGACCTGTCTCCCTAAGTGGAAAATGGTTGGTGTCTGTAGCTTATGTTGCTGTGAGAATGGACGAGAACGTGTACGACAGCCCCGGGGCAGCAGACCGGGCCGCTGTTCCTACCTTTGGCTCATGTTTTCTGTGTCCGAGAAGCCAAAACTGTTGCAAGGCCCAGGGGGCCCAGGATAGGGCCACTGGGTAGCGCGTCCACCCATTTCTAATTATCCGCCCCCGCCCGGTCCTAGGGTGTTTGGGATGTTCCGCCAAGCCAGCGACCGGGAGGCCGTCTACGCCTGCTTCACCTTTTCCCACTGGCTCGTGTACGCCAACAGCGCCGCCAACCCCATCATCTACAACTTCCTCAGCGGTGAGCGAGCGGGGAGGGATGGCTGAGGGTCGCGACAGCCTCCTCACCCCCAGTGGAGCTTGAATGCAGGATGGTGGTGGGGAGGATACACCTGCGTCCCCTGAGGATCATGACCCTGCTCCGGGGGCTCCTGGGAGACAGGTCACGCTCGCAACAGCGAAGGAAGGAAACTGCCCAGCACCCAGGACCCATTTGGGGGCATTACGCAGGCTAGTGAGCGGGCGGAGGGGCAGGGGCTAAGCCGTCTCACCTCTGCCCTGGTCTTGCCCTGTGTCTGCAGTCACCTCCTGACAAGGTGGGAGTCATGTTCCCCAGAGGGAGCCCCTGCCTGAGGCGTGACTGGCATCAGGGATAAGGGGAAGTTACCCGCAGAGGTAGCCCACGGCCAGGAAGACACACACTGGCAGAGTGGTCAGAATGTGGGGGGCTACCCCTATGTCTGCCTGCCTCCAGCACCAGCTCTCTCACTCTCTCTGGAAGACCAGGCATCCCAGTCCCTCCCGCCCTACCCCAGGCCTCTCTCTACTGCCCACAGTTCCCACTGGGGCAACAATGCCCCCTGCACCCCCACCCTGGCCAGGCTCAGCAGTGTGACTCACCAGACCTCTGGCTGCGGGATTAGGCCTCAAGAAGTGGTTCAGATGACTGTTCAGGCCGGAACACAAATCATCTTTGAGAAAGGTTGAAAGGCTAAAGAATAGGGCCCAGGGGTCACGCTCCTCTCCATCACTGAGACTGAAGAATTACTCAACAAAGGCTCGCCCTGGCTCCAGCCGAGAAGACAGGGAGGTGTGGCCTGCAGCCACACAGATGTCAGGCAGGCTTCCTCAGGGCGTCCTCTGTCTACCCTACCTCCCCTAGGTGCCTGCTGTGCGCTGGGCCCTCAGCCGGGCCCCAGAGAGGCTGCAGGACAATCAAGCACGATCCTAGTTTTAGTTCCGGGAGAAATGTTTCCCGGGTATCCCTTGGCTGAGCAAGGTGGCCAAGGTAGCCCCTCCTTCTCTGCTCTCTCCTCCCTTGAAGTGCACCAGACCAACTTTGCTCCAGGTGGCCTTGGACAAGCGGCTGTACCTCTGCTTGCCCTACCTGTAGAGTGCGGGGAAGGCGTTCAAGCTGGGGGGAGGGGGAGAGGGCGGGGAGGGGCTAGGATGCCTGAGGGGGATCAGCTGAGGCCCCAACACTGCTGTGGTTTTGTCATCATGAGGCAGAGACGGGGAAAGCCTCACCACAGATGGTGAGTCCTAGCCCTGCACCTGATGCCAAGGAGGAAAGAGGTGACCTGAGGCCCCTGAGCCAGACACCACGTTTTGAGCCGGGGCTCAGAGCCAGAGTGCAGTCAAGGAATCAGATGAAAATTGCATTTCTCATTGGGAACCTGCTCCAGGGCCTCAGTCCTCACTCCCTGGCAGTGATGAGTCGCCTGGGGGTTCTCTCTAACACAGCCCCTCACAGGCCACTTGGTAGGCCTTGTGTGAGGGGCTCCTGGGCCCTAGGTCCCCTCCTGCTGCTCCGTCTCCTTATGGCTGTGTCTTTTGTCTCCAACGAAGGCAAATTCCGGGAACAGTTTAAGGCCGCCTTCTCCTGCTGCCTGCCTAGCCTGGGTCCCTGCGGCCTGATGAAGGCCCCCAGCCCCCGCTCCTCTGCCAGCCACAAGTCCCTGTCCTTGCAGAGCCGGTGCTCCGTCTCCAGAGTCTCCGAGCATGTGGTGCTCACCAGCGTCACCACGGTGCTGCCCTGAGCGAGGGCGGCCTGTGCTGCTGCTCCCTGGCTGGGCTGTTCCTCTGGCTCCTGGGGGACCCGCCCCCAAGCCTCAGGAAAGACTGCTGGACACAGTGTGAGGCTGGGCTCAGGTCCTGGTTTTCTGTCTGACTCTGAGGAACTCACTTTTCCCCTCTGAGCGATGTCCCCTAAGCAGGATTGATGCCAAGATTACGCATGCTCAAGAAAGTGGAAAGCTCTTTGTAAAGTGTTGTGGGCAAGATTATCATTGTGCCCCTCTCACCTGGTCAAGCCCAAAGCACCATCTATCCCCATGACCCTCCCAGCAGCTGGCCTTCTTCCCAAAGACCCCTCTCCTACTCATTTACCAGCCTTTCCTGGAGTCTACTGTAAGAGTCCCAGCAGGCATTTCCATCTGCCTCCTGGCTCCCTAAAGCCCAGGCTGAGGCTGCACGGGCCAGCCGCTCTGACGCCCTGCGACGTAACCTGGGCCCAGCCCTCCCCCAGCAGGCACAGGAGCACAGCTACACCCTCATCAGGTGCGAGAGCACGCACCATAGACTGGACCCTCTTGGCTTTGTGGTGTGATAAAACACTCTCCGTGTGGCCATTTGGCATGGAAGCCAGCAGCCGGAAGCAATTGTAATTAAAAGCCTGGCACTGAATGTTCCCTTTCTTTGTCACTGCACAAAATCTGTGCTCCTTAGGTAAGGAAGGCGGTGGAGAAGCAGGAGGAGGGGAGAGGCTGCAGTACTGGGATGCAAAGATCTGCTGGCTACTCCCACCTCCCATCCCCCAACACACAGGCTACCAGATGGGCTTCCTGCCAGGCCTCAGAGTGCCCAGGGTACCCAGCCTCCCGAGGTGCCATCCTCTGACACACAGGACCTTGATCTTTGACAGATCTGTCAGCTCACAGGCCCAGTGGCCTGTGGCAGGTAAGGGTGGGGGGGGATGCAGACAGCAGACTGATGTACTGTTATCTTCACCTTCTTGGGAATCGGGGCTTGCCAATTATTTTCTATGAATTCACAGGATAAAAGAGAAAGCCAGACTTGACTAGACATACTCCTTCTGCCACCAAGACAAACAGAGGGCTGCCAGGACCCTGATCTCTGTTGCCAGGGCGGGAGGTGGAACAGTCTGAAGAACTGCTCTGAGAGAAGCTGGGCACAGCTGGCAGAGGCCTGCCCCCCAGGTCTGCTTAGCTTGATTAATGGAGCTGCTGTCTCTCTCATCTCACCCACCAGGAGGTGGGGCAAACATGGGCCTGCAGTAGCCCAGCCCAGGAATGTTTGGCAACCCCCTTAGGCAGCACACTTTCACTGGAGCAGCACCAAGCCCTCCAGGTGACTCAGTGGCCCAGCTCTGGTTGCCATTTCCACAGGTGTTGCTGGGCAGATAGGCTGTCCAGGCCCTGCCGCACTCCCGCTGGCCTTAGGACCCAAAACTGCTTCCAGTTTGTAGGCAGGTTTGGAGTTGCCACGTGTGGCGTGAGGTGGGCCGGCCGGCACTCAGGCTCAGAGCCAACCATGCCCACAAGGGCGGACAAAGTTCCGGGAGCCGCAGCCCCCCTGAGCACAAAGGTGAGACGCTGGCTGGCACCGTGGCAAAGACGGGTTGAGCAGCCACTCGGCTCAGTGGGAGCACAGGAACGGCAGCTTCCCTGACAGCTGAGTTCTACTCCATACTCCACTGGTTGAGTCCACACCACAGAGGGTCTTACACCTCATCTGGGGGCTTCTGGTGAACTGGAGAAAATTCAGGGAAGACGACCAGATGCTAAGGGGAGCGTGCACAGAGAAAAGTTGCTGGAGCCAGGACTGTGGAGACCAGGAAAGGAAGGAAGTGGGGGAGATGTCGCGGGCCCCAGTACCGAGGGTTGACTTATAGAATAGCGACGTATGTTCTGGGCGACCCAAGTGAGAAGCCCACAGCCTGTGGGTGGGGTGTTCAAGGTGGGAGGGTTGGGCATTCGCATCGGGCAGACATTTCTACTAGTCAGAGGAGGACACAGGCTGCTGGCACAGGCTGGGCCAGTGGCGCCATGGAGGGCACACCAGCTCCAGGTGAGGACTGGCCCCTGAGAACCGGATTCCATCTAATTCTAGCACCACGGCAGCCCAGAGAATGGGGCTGAACTGGCTGCACCCACCAGATCTGCTGCACCCCACTGAGCTCTAAAACAATCATGGTGACTTCACCACACCACCCACTGCAGGGAGCAGAGCCCTGCTTTCTTATCTTCATTCCCCAAAGCAAAAGGATCATCACACCATTACCCATGATAAGGCCCCTCAGGCAAACCAGAACGTCTGGTGTCTTGGCTCTTGATTGAAATTTTGTCAGATCACTGTGGACACTCAGTGTAGAATGGTTATCATTCCGATCTGAAGACCCAGCTGGCAAGTACAGATGTCTGTGCTTAATAAAAGCTATGACTTAATAAATGCAGTTTGTCTGCAAGATAAAAACTAGGGCTTGAGACAATAAAAAGGCCACACTGTAAAAAGCTGAGTGGCTGCTCCCATCGCAGAATGCCAGCCCTGAGTGAAACAGCTTCCTGTCCTCTCCTAGGCAACACTGACTTGACCTCAACAGGGCCCACACTTCAACTTCACCATGGTGAAGGAACGCAGCCCCACAGAGACGTGAGCCTGCACTGCTCCTTTCTGCATGGTGTGCAACAGAGCATGCACCCAAGCGTTCACTGAATGAAGGAATGAATGAGTGGCGGAGTGGATGAGGACATGAGCCGACCGCTGGGGAGGTTGGTGGGAAGCATGGAACTCCAGCGTTTTGTCCTTTTATTGAAGTTTACAGTTTCACTGAACTTTTGGCCCCAAATGAAAAAAAAGGCAAATAAAAACAGCATTGGCAGTGGGAGATGGCAGCGGTCCCCTGGAGACTGAAGCCAAGCGGGGAATGTCAGGCAAGTGAGGGTACAAGCTGCAGAGGGCAGCAGCCTGGCCACAGATGCCCAGACAGGAGACCGCCCAAGCCCCCTGAGCGGGGCCAGTCCCCAGACAGCCAGAAGCTAATCCCCACAGACCGAGGGGAGGTGGAGCCAAGCCTCTGGCGCCCTGGCCATCTCCCTCACTCCTGGTCAGATTCCACTTTGGAGAAACTGATGGACAGTCCGTCTGCTGGGACAGCCCAGGCGAGAGGCCACAAGTGCTAGTGGAAAGAGCAGAGGACACTCACCGCTGCAGCTGGGGAAGAAAGGGAAGCTAAAGGCTGGAGCCCAGTTGAATGGACCCCACTGCAATGACTGGCATCTCCTGCTCTGGCACAAGGCTGTGCCATTTAAATGCTCAGAGCTGTAAGGACAGTGAACTTGCTGTCCTCTCCTAGGTCAGGTCCCTGTGTGGCCTCAGCCCAGGACCCCGCTACTGGGCGGTTCCCCGCCCTCCTGGGGTACAGTGCTGAATCAGGCAAGGCAGAAATCTTTTTCTAGGAGGGGCAGTTAAAGAAGCCCACATGCTTCCCCCTCCCTTGAGGAGCTAGGGCAGGTCCCCTGGTGCACCCTACTCTGCACATGGGCGGGATCAGAGCATCCGAGAAGCCGTCATGGTGATGAAGTCCTCGAAGCTGAGCCGGATGTTGCCCTGCACAGCCGTGTCCTTCTCCCGGAAGGCTTCTGTCAGCACCTGCAGCTGGGTGCACACCTGGATGAAGCGGTCTAGCTGCATGGCAGGAGTGGCAGAGCGTGGGCAGTAGCGGGAGACGAGGAGCTGGGTGAACTGGGGGCTCAGGTTGTAGCCCATCTGGGACAGAGCTGGAGAGCAGGGGCACACAGAGAAGATAGAAAACCTCCTGTGAGCACCTCCGGCAGCCAGGTCCGTGGAGCAGAGCAGTTCAGGGGACTCCGAGGGCACGGGCACCAAAGCAGACAGGCAAGGCACAGACGTCCCAAGGGCCTGCCCAAGATGGCAGAGCACCAGGAGTGTCTGGACACTCTCCTCGACTGGAAGCCCCTATCCCTGTTCCTCCAAGTCTCCGTTACTGTCTGTTCAGTCAGGGGCCAGGGGCCTCAGCACGACACTGGTCTCGCCATGCTCACTCTGGCTTGTCTGCACTGCACGAGGACGCCTGAGCCCCGAGAACCACCTTGTCTCATCATTTCTAAAATGGGGATAATACTTGCCTGCAGGTTCTAGTAACAGTTAAAGGATGACCACATAAAGTGCTCATTACAGTGCCCGGCATAGAATAAGCACTCAGTGTTGTTTGTTAAAAATAATAGAATCCCCGCCATCTCACTCGCCAAGGCAGTCGGGCAGTTACAAGGTCACAGCCTGTACAACCTCCACCTGGGAGGCTCCCCTCCATCCTCACTGCAAAATCAAGCAGCTCAGGTGAAAATCTTCGCTCCCAGTGTGCTATGGGAAGTTGCCTATACCAAGTCTTGGCTTTCGCATCTACAAAAGGGTAATAATAAGGGCTTCCCCTCCCAAAGGAGAACAGTAAACAGTAACTGTAACCCGGGAGAATGGATGCTATGCTAACCGTGCTGACTACTGGGCCTGGCACCTCGCAAGCATTCAATAAACACTAGTTTCATTGTTTTATTATCACCAAAATCCTGACAGGACCTGGCAAAAGGTCCAGTGATGGGACAGGTCACCTCCTTTCCCTGTGACCAGGGTGCAGGCATGGTGAGCGTACCCCCACCACTCCTCAGTCGGACTGACATCTATAGTCAGGACAGGGGCTGGGTTCCCTGGGGAGCCCTTGCTCCCTCTCAGGTTCTTGTCACCCACTAACTACCCTCCTCTAGAATCAGAATCAGGACCATACCTGGAGCTGTGATTTCAGGTTCCCCAACTGCTACTTTTAGACCCAACTGTCGGGGTCCTGGATTTGGGAAGGAAACTGAGGGGTGGGCAGGGGTCTGTGCTGAGTACAGCTGGACGCGTGGCAGTCAGTCAGAGACCAAAGAAAACCCCTTGCTCTGCCTCAAGGAGTCGAGACAGGTCTCGCTCTGCCGGAGCAGTCCCTGCCTATTTCCATAATTATCAAATGTCTTTAGTATATATGCCATGGCCCTCACCTTGCTGCAGCTCTGTGGGACTGATGGAGCCCGAGCGGTCCCGGTCATACTGCTGGAAGAGGTTCTTCCACTGCTGGATGAACTTCCACAGGGCTGAGAAACCGTAGACGTCAATGCGGCCTGACTTGGTCTTGTCAAACATGTCTTCAGGGAGGAGGAAAAGAGGGAAGAAAGGCTTCAAAACTGAGGGCCAAGGGTCCTCCAGTGCCACTGAAATAGCCCTTCTCACCAAGCTATAGGGGAGACTCCCCAGAACCACAGACCTGAGGCCCAGATGTCTGTACCCAGAAAGACCTTCATCAAGATCTGCACCAGCCTCCCACGCTGGCCACCTTCCGCCCCTTCCAGAGCTGCGTGCTCTCTGCAGGTTTAGTAGCGGACATCCCTCACTCCACCCCCTCCCCATCTCCTTTCAGGGCAGAGGTGTCATTCTGTCAAAAGGGAAACAAGTTAGCTTGTGACTCAGCAAGGTCTAGAACTTGAGGGAAAAAATTGAAGGAAAAGAGCTTATTCCAGGGGATCTCACCTTGAATCCAGTTTCCTATTTGAAATCCTACCTGGCCAAAGGATTTCTCCTCAGAATGGAAGCCCACCAGCCCACTGTCAGATATCAGGTGACTGTTATCAGGGGCAGGGTGTGTGAGTAAGTGGCTTTGTAAGTATGTCTGAGGAGGGAAGGAAGGAAGAAAGGAGCTTTGTGTCTGTCAGAAGCCCAGGGGGAAGGGCTAGGACTCACTTATCATCATGAGGCACGTCTCGTCATTGAACGAGGACCAGTTGGAGTTGACCAGAGCCTGCTTCAGCTCCTTGATGGAGATGTAGCCACTGTGATCGGAGTCCACTGACTGGAACCAGGAGTAAGCCTCAGGATCCACGTTGGGAGGAGCACCACCTGCAGGAAGGGGTGCAAACCAGGAAGTCAGACCCAGGTCTCAAGGCCAAACCCCAGAAATGCTGGGATGGGCCAGCTTCAGTGCCTGCCTGCCTACATTTTATCCCGACCCACAAAGCCTCACAAACCCACGCAGCCCCTGGTTTCCATGAGGCCAACATCCTTACTCCGATGGAAGAGGAACTTTGATGCAGATTCAAAACTATCTGCAGTTGATTTCTGCTCCATGAATCCCTCAAGCTTTTCCTATAGTGTTCTCCAGTCACTTCTCTGTTTGATTTTAAGTTTCTAAGGAAGAGGGAGTCCAGCAGATTAAGGATTATCTGAAAAGGGGGATTATCTCTTCCCCAGAGAATGGGAACCTAAAAGGTTTGCTGAGAATCTGACATGCACAGGCCAGAGACAAGTATTTTGAGTCACAGGAGCACAGGGCTCTGTGGTGGGGACTGAACCTGGCCACCTCTGTCCCCTGGTACAGTGGAGATTTGGTCCCCGCCATAAGGAGCTACCAGTGTACTGGGGTCCCCAAACTCCCCCTCTTTTCCTTGCCCATCACCTCCAATGCACATCCTCATTTCCAAACCTTCCTGGAAACATCTTTGACACCTTCTCATCCCATATATCCAAAGAAGTGCCCAATTCTGTCAGTTCCATGTAGATATATCTGCTCCTCCTCATTCCTACTGAACCTGCCCTGGGTTAGACACCTCTCACTAGGACTGCTGCTAACAAACCAAAAACTCCTAATCAGATGATCCTGATAGCTAGTCTTCACCACCCTTCAGTTGCTGTGAGGTAATCTTGGTAAAATTCAACTCTATTCTCATCAACTTGCCCCTACCCTAACTCAAAACTCTTCAAAGGCTCCCCACTGCCTACAAAACCCAGCATCCTTAAAAGAGCATTCTAGGTTCCCACGCAATGGGGTCTACTCCTATCCATCTCTCTTGCTCTGCCTACCACTGTCCGCCTCAAGCCTCTGTTCTAGCCCAGATGAACTACTACACTTGCTCTCACCTACACTGCCCACCCCCACCCCCAGCCTTGACTCACTCTGGGCCACCTCCAATCCCCTTCTTCCTAATCACTTTGCATCCATTTCCTGTCCAACCTTCAAAACTGAAAATGCTATTCCCGCCATACGACCTTCCCTATTCTTTGATCCCTGGGCAGGCCTCCTTCCTTCCTCCTTCACACTCCTCCTCCCTTGATCCTCACCAGTCCACTGTGTACATGTTTTTTTCCTCACCCTCTTCCAAGTTAGACTTGGAACAACCTGCCGGCAGGACCCCAGTCTAAGTCATCTCTGAGTCTCTCTGAGTGTCCAGGGTCCAGCACAGACACAGAAAGGGAAGGTGTTTGATTCACACGTTCTGAGGTTCTGAACAGATTCCAGCACTGGTCTCATAATTCAACTCCCTGTCCCTTCTTTTGCAGCCCTACTTAAACTCTCCGTGTCTCAGTTTTCTTATCTGTAAAATGAGGACATGACAGTATCTCCTTTGTAAGTGTATTGTGAAGCTATAGCTAATAGATGAAAAGATACAGTTAATATATGAAAACCCTTAAATCACAACCCGGTACAACCTAAGCGCTATTATTAGTGCTGTTGTCCTGGTTCAAAAGCTTTGTGTGTCTGTAAAGAGTAAACAGCTTTAAGTGTGTGTGAGTAACTGTGTGTGTCCAGGATGAGGGAAGGATCCCTGATTTGGATTGGAAAGACACGCTGAGTAAGCTGGGGGTGGGGAACAGTGGTGGATGAATGTGGAAAAGCACAGAGGTCTCCTAGGAAAAAGCAGTGTTGGTACGTTTTACAGAGTTTACTCAGCAGGCTTTATTGCATTAACTGCCACAAAGAGAGGGCTCCTTCACAGGGGCAGTATCGGAGACAGCCCTGGGCAGTGTGGAGCTCAGAAACTACTGCTCAGCCCCAAAGGTGAGGTCAGCAGGAAAAAGGTTTGCTGGACTGAAGGACTAGTCTGACCTCCTTGCATGGGAAATCAGGCAACTCCACCTTCTTCCTAAAATAGCAGCCGTGCCATGGGGGGATGGAGTGGGGGCAGAGTCCCAGGCAGGAGGGTTTCTGTAATGTGTGTAATCTGTGCAGTTTGCACAGAGGAGCTCAGGCTCTGGAAACAAAGAATTTGTACACAAATCCTGGCTCTGATCTTTCTGGTTCTGTGACTTCAGGCAACTGTTTAATTTTCTGAGTATTGGTTCCCCCATTTCTAAAATAGACCAGGGGCTGTTGTGATGAGGAAATGAGATAACAGCAAAATAAAGTCTTAGCAAAGGGCCTGGATGTGTGCAGTCACACATCCAGGAAGGGATACTCACAGTGGGTGTGCAAGGATGGTAAGGAGCTGAGGTGGGGAGAATAAGCATGTGGCAGGGGCACAGTACTTCCCGGGGGTTCTGGGTTGATGGGAGAGTGGGTAGGTAAGGAGGCTGAAAGACCCCTTGGGTCTCAAGAGCCTTTGGGATCCTTCATGTGGGCAGTAGGGCACCTTTCATGGTGCTCGAACAGAGATCCTGGACTCAGGGCACTGAGGGGATGTCCAGGCGGCTCCAGTGCAGGTGACAATGGATGGCACTTTAAGAGGCACTGCTGCAGGGGTCACTAGCTGCAGCAGAGGAGGCAATGGCGGCCAGGCCAGAGGAGGCTGCAGAAGCTGAGCAGCTAAGTCTGAGCTCGTCTCTCCTCTGCTCTCTAGCCCCAGTGGTCACCTCTGGCTTCAGGCCCTGGAGGGTTACTTCTCATAGTCAGGGGCTCCTTTCCCTGCAGTGGCCACAGGTAGGCCCAGAGACGAGGTTTTAAAAGGATAAGGAAATCCACCATGAAGCTGCTGAGCTGAAAGCCAACAGCAAGAAGCTCTGGTCTCGACAAGACAAATGGCACTGGCTCAGTGTCTGGAGCCCCAAGGTTTGTGCGTTTCCCGCAGGACCCTGGGTATAAATGCAGAGACACTGGCAGCGCCACTCCCTGAAGGCCCAGCAGGTGCACAGAGTATTTCCAGGCTGCCTCGCTACTGGCTTGATCTCTTGGGAGAAAGCATTCTGTGAAGAGGCTGACTGTGTTTAGGAGAAAGCAGGGGGCTGGGCAACCACCTTCCTTGACCCCCCCTGGCTGAGACCATTCAGAAATCTTCGCTGAAGATTCTCTGCCTCCACTGAATGGCAAGCCCTGCACCCATCGTGTCCAGCACCTCATGTACAGCGTCACTGTCTCTGTCTCGTCTGCTGTCACATTAGACTTGAAGACCTCTGCTATGAACGCCCCAGGGGGAGTCCTCTCAGAAGACTGTTTATGAAGCTCTTCCTCCATGCTAGACCGCACCCAGTGTTTACCTGTACCTTCTCGTTCAATTTTTATTCACAATCCCATCAACATTTTCCTATTTTACAGATGTGGACACTGATGCTTAAAAAGGTGAAGTAATCTGTTCCAGTAGGAAAAAGCCCAAATTCTGAACGACTACTCCATCCTATCTTTCTACAGACAGTGGTCAGTCTCCCTCTCGGAAGTGGGGTTCCCCCACCTTGGTGGCCTGCTTGTTTCCTACCCCCTTCCCTGTAAGAGCGCTGTGCAGCCTCTCCACTGCCGGCTTGCAGAGTCCCTCCAGAAAAAGAGTATCTATGCCCATCCGACTGACAGGCTTAACCAGGGATGCGGTTTGGCCAGTGGAATGTGAGTGGAGGGACTACTTCAAAGCAGAAGTTTTAAGAGGCATTGTGCACCCCATTAACTCTCCTGCTCTTTTCCTCTGCTACAAGAGCAGCTTATCCCAAACTGGGGCTGTTCTCCAGCCTGGATCCTGGAAAGGAGAGGTGGAAAGAGAAGCTTGGCAGCCAAACCACAGCTGCCAACATGTAAGCAAGAGTAAATAAGCATGAGCAAGCAAAGAAATAGATGTTTGTTGTTGTAAGCCAGAAAAGATTTTAGAGCTGTTACTACAACAAATCTAACTAACATGTTTTACATGCTGCTGATCAAAGCTGAAGTTGGAAGCAAGACGCTAAGGTGCCAGGGACCAGGCTGCCCACACATCCACAGGAAGGGCAGAAAGGGCCCTGGGTAACACAGAATGAGAACAGAGGCACCCAGAGTCCAGGATTCCTACTTACCTGGAGGAGGTCCCTGTCCATAAGGCCCTGGATGCTGGGCACCATAGGAGCTTGGAGGCGGCTGTCCATAGGGGCCTCCTGGAGCAGCACCGCCATATGGTCCTCCTGGAGTTGCTGGGAGTCCCCCAGGGTTGGGAGGTCCATAAGGCCCTCCACCGGCTGGTGGTCCATAAGGCCCTCCAGGGGCAGGACCTCCTCCATAACCACCACCGGGGGGCACTCCACTGCCATACTGGGCTCCGCCATGGGGGGGTCCAGGATAATAGCTACCCGGAGGGGCTCCAGGTGCTTGTCCTGCCTGCAAGAAGAGCAAGATATCAGTTAGAATGACAGGGCTAGAAAGTAGCCAAGGTGTCGCATGGTGGAGTTAGAAAACACTGCCACTGCTCCACCATTCTAGCAACTGATTCTGCACGCAGCACTGGAATTATGATCCCATTGCTCAGATGGGGAACCTGGGGCTTCTGCAGGAGAAACAACCTGCCCAAGGTCACACTGTCAATGACCTGCAGAGTCAGGGCTGGAATCCTTCCCTCGTGGCTCCCCTTCCTTGTTCTCCAAGGGGCCCCATGAGGGCTGAGATCATGTCTTGTTTGCTACTTCATTCCCAGCCCCCAGTGTAGAATGAATGCCCAGTAAATATTGATTGTATGAATAAGTAGGCAAATGAATCAAACAGAATTCCAAATCCTCACCCTGCAGCATTCCCATCTCTATCTGCAGAATTCACACTGCAAATGTGGTCTCCGCCTCATTCCCCCGACCCTCTTCAGTCATAAACCAGGTATCCGGACCATGGGTACGTCCATAGCATATCTTGCTTACCCTTCTAGATGCAAACACATTTCCCCATCCTTACTCATGGCTCTGTGAGACAGGCAGGGGAGATTCTATTCCTAAGACAATCCAGTAAATGGTCAAAAGCCAAAAAGATGATTCAAGTTTAGCTTCTATCGCTTACTAGACAAATGACTTATCCTCTCTAAGCTTCAATATCCTTTGCCGTAAAATGGGAATAACAATTAGTGTCTACCTCCCAGGCCTACCTCCCATTCATGTGAATTAAACGACACGAGTTACATGAAGCACTTTGACACAGAATAAGCACTCACTACATGTTTAGCTAACACCCTTTTACAGAGGAAGACATTCAAGTCCAGAAAAATTACAGACTGTGTGGAAAGGCTGGGGCCAGAATCCAGGTCTCCTGGCTGCTAAGCCCAGGCCACCTGCTCATTAAAGCACACCGGGGGTGGCGGCGTTCTTTCTCTTACCCATGTTCCTGTGCCACCTGCCAGGGACGCCTGAGCTTAGAGTGCTCAGCTCCATCTCCCTAAATGGCCAGCACAAGACTGGCAGAGCACAGCCCAGCACATCTGCAGACAGGCTGAGCTCAAGAGCACAAAGCACAGCTGGGCTCAGCTCTGAGGCTGGCACCACTGAGACATGTTCTAGATTAACTTGCATGGTACATGGGGCCCTGGCCACTGAGAGCCTGGACTTTCTCTTTTGATTGTGCTTGATACACAGTGTTTGAGAGTTACCTCAAGGCTACAGCCAAATTCACACTTCATCTAAAGGGGGTCTGCTCGTTCAAGGAAAGGAGGCTCTCGAGGGAGGGCAGGAAGCAGGCACTCCACCTTGCCACTCAGCATTTTGGGAGCCCTTCCACCCTGGAAGCTGTCATGGTAGCAAGACTCCCTCACAGACAATGAAGTCATTAAGAAAATCTCAATTCAAAATTCTGCTCTTGCCAGCTCAGTTTATCACTGTGGGCCCAGGGCTTAATTAAGCTTGTTAAGGCTTCTTGCCTCACAAATAAGATATAATAATCCCTTCCTCATTGGATTATACTGTAGATTACAAGAAATAAATGCAGCAGAATTTTGTTAATTTAATTTTTAGCTAAGGAATCTTTTAATAAAATGAAACTTTAAAAACTGGTAAAAGAAGAAAGCTGCTCTGGCTGAACCAAGGTGAGGATTCTCACATCCCCACTATGTGGCCCCCTCCCTTGCTGGGTTCTGAAAAGCTGCAGAAGCTCATAGTATCTGAAAAGAGAGTTTGCAAAACATTAATATAAGGAATAAAGTTCTTGACAACAGTGCCAGGCATCAAGTAAATAAACAATGAATCACAGCTGCTATTGTTATGGCTTTATATATTCCATATACATTACACCCCGGGTCAGGTGCCTGTGGGGGAGGGGGCACATAAAGATGAGTGAACCCTCCCGAAGGATCTCACAGCTGACAGGAGACACAGAGGCACACTCTGTAACATCTGAAAAAAAACAGCAGGAAGTAGATGTTTAAAATGGACACATATGCCAAGAGCATGGGCCTGCCAGGAATAGAGGGTGCAATCATGGAGGGTTTCCATGAGAGAGCAGCACTTGAGCTCCTTAAAGGATGAAACTTAAAGAATGACAAATTCTTCCCAAGGGGTGTAGAGAGGTGTGATGGGAGAGGTGCCTGGGAGGGCAGAGGGTTTACCTAACCCTTCAGTTTATAGGTGAGGAAGCTAAGGCCAAGAGAGGAGAAAGGATTGGTTCACGTAGCACTGGGAGTTGGAGGCAGAGGTGGGACTAGACACTGCCCCACACGCACCCCTTACATCCTTGTCCAGTGACCCCACCACTTCCTGCCACACTGCTCTTTCTTTAAGGAATAGAGTCAGATGGAAAGAGAAGTGGGGATGCTGCAGAGTCTGGATGCACCCGAAGAATGGGCTGGACACCAAGCCAGGAAATAGCTGCTCCACAATAAGCCCAATGAGCAAAGCCAGGGTACCCGACAGCACCCGAGGCACCGCCTTGCCCTCACGCCAACAGAGCAGAGGCTGCCACGTCTTCTGACTTTCATGCTCTCACCTTCCAGGGGACTGCTGGTCTGAGGCAGTCTGCGAGCAACTAAACCCTTTCTTTCCTGCCCTGCATCAGAGCCCTGGAAATGGACAGTTTACAAAGCACGTTCATGTGCACACAAACGCTACTGGCAGAATCCTGCCAACAGTCCTCTAAAAGAAAAAAGAAGGTATTAGTAGGTCTATTTTCAGATAAAGACCCTGAGGGGCACAAATGTTAAATGGCCTCATTCTGCGAGCAGTCAGAAAGTGAGCATACTGTCAGCTCTGGGCAAGGCCTGGGAGCACAAAATCAAATACAGCCCGTCCTTGAAGGGTTCAGATAACTCTGACACAATCTGACTGATGCCATCAGAAAAATCTGCTTTAAATCCTACAATGGAGGCATGGGCAGAGGGACTTGTTCTGTTGGTTGAATGATAAATGAGCAATCAAACGAGCAAAGGCATGAAGTCAGTCGAGGAGGGCTTCCTGGAGGAGGTCAGATATTGACTCTGGCCTTGAAGGATGCACAGGCACTCCAGAAGAAGTAGGGCAGGACATTCCAAACAGAAGGAGAAAAAAGACAAGGACACGGACCTATGAGCAAGCAGGGAGTGGGCTAAAAAAACAGGAGGCAGGAATAGGGATGCAGTGTGCACTCAGAAAGGCAGGCTTTTTACATATTCCTTGTCCAAGCACCCCACCTATGGCACTTCAGTTAACTGGTGAGTAACCAGGGTCTCAGAGAAATTTCTATCAACTCCCCCACGCAACAGTGGGCCTCACTCATCACCCACACTCCAGGGCCCAGTACAGTGCCCGGCACCTGCAAGCCTTCTGAACAAACTAATGCCACTTTGGAGAGTTTGCTGGAGAAAACAGCCCCAAAGAAGGGTTTCCAATAGGGGAGGAATGTGATCAGAGTCTTGTTTAGAAAATTAACAGCAGACCAGCAGCGGTGGGAAGGATGAGCCTGAGGGGAGGCGGCAGCCCAGGTGCTGGGCGGGCAGGACTTGAGCCAGACAGCAGACCCGGAGCTGGAGAGAACAGCTCTGAATGGATTCTGAAGCTATTTCAGCGATAGACTAGACATGACTTGGCGACTAATTAGATTAGGGACGAGACAGATGGGGAGTGAGATTTGCAATGACTCCGGTCTCCAGCTTGCACAGGAAGAGAAAGTAGACACACCAACTGAGGCCAGTTCCAGGCTGGGGAGTTTTGGGGAAGGTGGTTCTCAGGGTAATTAAGCTTTAAGTAAAGTTCTGAGCCACAAATGAAAACCATACTCTCCAAGCTGCCAGCCCTTTAGACAGTTTTCCCCAGAGCATTTCATGCTGACAGATACAAGATTATGAAAGAAAAGAAAAAAAAAAAAAAGACAAGAGAGATCAGTAACCTGGTTTCCAAAGAGTCACAGAAAACTATCCCTAGGTCTTTACTAATTGCAAATAAATTACACTTGATATATTGGGGTAGTGGGAGGGGACAATTAACATTTTACTGAGGTTCTGCTAGATCTTTCCAGTTCATTTAGCACTCACTGATCCTTGGTCCTAGGAGGCAAGTGCTATTATCTCCACTTTACAGATGAGAAAATTAAGGTGCAGAAAGTTTAATAATGTGCCTATGAGACAGCTAGAACCAGTGAGTTGGGACTAAAAGAGGGTCTGTGTGACTTCAATACACTATCCTCTTCTGTGTGTTCATTCGATAAAGGAGTGGGCATCGACCATGTGCCAAGGACTGTCCTATATGCAGCTGTGGACTGTGGTGGATTTCTACAGTGGACAGGGGTGGAGGGGAAAGGGCTGGATTAGGTGATCTTACAGAGGTTTCAAGTCCAGAAATCAGGAAGACTGAAAAAAATTTATTCCTTTTTCACCCCAGCACCTAGACCCAATTTGCGAGACGCAGTGTTGTAAGAGTTCCCCAAGGCCCTTCTGGCCAACCTCTCAGTCCCTGACAGACTCTGTGCAGCATAATCTAGAATCTCTTTGCATCCCCACAAGTGGTGCAAAGCTCACCTCCTCCTAAATAACCCACTCAGAAGTCCCATCTTTTCTCGTGGCTCTGAGAGCTCACCTTCTGTTCCTAAGATCCTTGTGAAGCTCAGAGGCAGCAGAGCGTGGCCATGCCGAGGCCTGTTGGGGAAGAGGGTAGCTGGCACTGCAAAGTCAAGCCCAGACCCCAGAGCTAGCCCTCACGTGCCCATGGGAGGAGGCTAGAGATCATCCAAGGGGCAAACAATCAGGAGAAGACAGGAGGAGGGGTTCAGGCGTTCGTCTGCAGAGCATCTTCAAATATTTAAAGGCCAGAAACCTGCTGCCAATAAAGAGTGAGCAAGAACTGTCCCCAGACATGTCACACCTCTGTGTTGACACTCCAAAATTTCTCTCCCTAGCGCCATCTCTCCTGAGCCCAGGCCCATATCTCCAGCCCTTCCTGGACCTGCTCTCCAAATCCACTCCTCCCTCTGTGTTTCCACCACAGTGACTGGTACCTCCTACCCCCCAGCACAAAACCTAAAGCCCTCCTGGGCACGTCCTCTTTCTTTTCTATCTTTTGTCACCTCAGTTAGCACACAAGTTTTCTCAATTCTACTTCCCAAATGCTTCTCACAGCTATTTCACAAGGTCACTGTTCTCTTGAGCTTACAGGACTTCACTAACTGAAATTGGTCTCCCTGGCCCAGGCTTTCCTGCTTTCAACCCAGTCTCACAGCGGCCCATGATAATAGCTCCAGAGCAGAAGAGAAAATTCTTTCACGGCTCCCTCACTACTCTTAGGATAAAGTCCATACTCCCCCAAATGGCATTCTAGGCTATTTAGGATCTGGTCCTTGCTAACCTTTCAGGTCTTATTTTTTTTTAAAGATTTATTTATTTATGCATACAAGAGCTGGGGTACAGGCCAGAGATGTGGGGGCGTGAGAGGATTCACCAGAGACAGTGGGGAACAGAACAGGCAGATTGACAGAAGTACACTGCTGATGGGAGCAGCGGGAGAGTCAGGAGAGGTCTGCTGCGCCATGTGGGTTGTTCCCTGGCAGGCCGGGGATTGAACTCGTGCTGTAGAGGCTGCAGATTGCTTCATAGTGCGGTGCTTAACCCCTTGCACCACCAGGGAGGCTCAGGTCTTATTTTTTACCCCCACCCTAACCCCTATTCACTACAACTAGACCGATCTCCTTAAATTCCTCCTAAAACGCCAGGCCATATTACTTGCTTCCTGGCCCCTGTGCTTGCTGTTCCCTCTACTGGAATACCATTCCTTTCACCACACAGCTAACTCTGGCCAGGGATCCAGTTTTTAGTGTATTTTTTTTTTTTTTAATAGAGGCATGCTTTATTTATTTATTTGTTTGTTTGTTTGTTTTGTTTATACATGCACTGGGTACAGTCAGAAGCGCGGGAGGGTGAGAGAATTCACCAGAGCCAGAGCGGGGAGCAGAGCAGGCAGAAGGACCGAAGTACACTGCTGAGGGGAGCAGCGGGCGGCAGGAGAGGTCTGTGCGCCATGTGGGACCCTCCTCCAGTGGCCGGGGAGCAGCCGGGGATCGAACCGGCGCCACAGAGGCTGCGGGCAGCTTCGCAACCCAGTGCTCAACCGCTGCGCCACCGGGGAGGCCCCCAGTTTTTAGTTTAAATGTCACCTCCATTAAGAAACCTCCCTTCTCCTCACGCCCCGCCCCCTGCCCCAAGACAGATTTAGGTATCTGCCTGTGCTGTCTTAGCATCTTGTAATTACTCCCACTTAACACCACCCAATTCTATAATTTATGTCATCTATATCACTCTTCCACAGGGAGTATTTATACCAAACACCATGCCAAGCTTTTTACATTATTATCTCATTAACTCATTTAATCTTCACAGTAACACTTATGACCCCATTTTAAAGAAGAGGAAACAGCCTCAGACTTTTACAAGACATTTCTGCAAAGAAATTGCAGAGCAGGGATTTAAAGCGAAATCTCTCTGGCCTCAGAGACCACGCTCTTAAGCACTAAAACCCATCAAACTGGTTCCCACACAGGACCAAAGGATACTTGAGTTTTACTAGCCCCAGTATTAAAACTGGAGGCAGTTTAACCACAGGCTGGACTCCCCCAGGGCAATGTACTAGGTAAGGGAAGGCAGCCTTGACTAAGCCTTCAGACGCCTTAAAACAACCCATTTCCATTCTTTGAAAGAGCTTGAACCAGGGGTTGGACAAGTAGACAAGAGTACCATGTGTGTGTCCGTTGAGGGGCTGGCGAGGGGAGGGGCAGGAAACATTTCTTCTATTCCAGACATGCTTCTCTCTGTGTCCTGTCTCAATATTTCACTCATGATTCCTCCTTTCTGAATGCAGAACATGTCTGAGGTGGAACTCAAAAGTGTACTCTTGGGCCTCCCTGGTGGCGCAAGGGGTTAGGCACAGCACTAGGAAACTATCCGCAGCCTCTGCAGCATGGCCTGCCAGGGAGCAACCCACATGGCGCAGCAGACATCTCCTGTCTCGCCTGCTGCTCCCCTCAGCAGTGCTTTCAGTAGATCTGCCTGTTCTGTTCCCCACTCTGTCTCTGGTGAATCCTCTCACCCCCTGCACCTCTGGCCTGTATCCGAGCGCTCGTATGCATAAATAAATCTTTAAAAAGTATACACTTTTTCTTTTTTTTAAACAAGCCTCTAGGTGATTCTTGTGCAGACATTCCAGTCAGAGCCAGGCACAGTGACATTGTGTTCCTCAGGAATGCTAGTATCACCAAAAGAAAATGACCAGACATAAAATAAGAGTGGGGTTTCACAGTTACTTAAGTAAGTTTAAGAAATACTGTATATTCTCTCCCTCTCTGACAGATTTACAATGTGTATTACCAATTTAAGAGTTCTGAGATGGCCTGTAGTGAACGAAGTCTTCTTCAGTATTTAATACAGTATCCCCATGACCCTCTTTTCCCCACAGAATCCTCCTCGGGTAGCAATATTATTAACATCTTCTAAGACTCAGCAAGGGGAACAGAGCTTGGATAACACTACTAGGTTATACTTCCTCCTAACCCCTACCTAGGCTGGCATCTCTTTCCCTCCCAAGTCCAACTATGCAATAAAAGTTCAAGCCTCTGGCCTCACCCTTGGGCAAGTCATTTAACCTCTTGGGGCTTATAGCACAGCTGTAAATTGTAATTATTCCCGCTAGCATGCCTACAGGGCCTTCATGCCTGAGATAATGGAGGTCCAAATATGTGCACAAAAACCTGTATGGGGCTGCACTCCCTCTAAGGGTTCTTGTCCCGTGTTCTGGCATATGACTGTACTCAGTTGTAATATCCATATGCTCATGTTTTCCAGTTTTTCCTATATGGGTTTTTATCTCCTTAATTAGTGTGATCTTGGGCAACTCAGGAGTATTCTCTTTCCTTCAGCTTCTACTTAAAAATGAGGTGACTATTTTGAGGGCCCTCCCAGCATTGACCTTCCAGGAAGTCTAGTAAAAATCAAAATACTGGGCCTCCCCGGTGGCGCAGCGGTTGAGCGCTGGGTTGCCAAGCTGCCCGCGGCCTCTGCGGCACTGGTTCGATCCCTGGGCTGCTCCCCTGCCACCGGAGGAGGGTCCCACATGGCGCGCAGACCTCTCCTGCCGCCTGCTGCTCCCCTCAGCAGTGTACTTTGGTCCTTCTGCCTGCTCTGCTCCCTGCTCTGGCTCTGGTGAATTCTCGCACCCTCCCGCGCTTCTGACTGTACCCAGTGCATGTATAAACAAAACAAACAAACAAACAAATTAATTAAAAAAATGCCTCTGTTAAAAAAAAAAAGGAAAAAAAATCAAAATACGAAATGGTAACACTTGTCACTTTTTTTTTTTGGTCTGTCACACTCTTAGTAGTACCAGATGCTTTACAATTGCTCTTGATAACATCTCTGTAAAGTGGATCCTATTATTTGGTCCTATTTTACAGAGGAGGAAATTTTGACTCAAAAAAGCAATGGCGCCAAGGTGTGAACCTTCCTGACTGCAAACTACACTTAACCACCCTATCATTCTGTCAGCCAACAAAGGATTTCTGCTGCAGAATCACCTTGCGGTGGTGATCTTGGCTGGATCAGAACGGGCGGACAAGTGGGGAAGAGATATTTGGCCACAGCCCCAGGTTCTGCTGCCTAACTGCCTGGTGACTTTAGCTAAGTTCTGTGTCTTCTCTACGTTTCACTTTCTCCATATGTGAAATGGAGGTGTTGTACGAAGTCCGAAGTCAAACCAGATCACTTGCGGAGCCTGCTAAAACCCCAGATTCTCCTGATTATTCTGATGCAGTACGTCAAGGGGGGTATTTTCACCCAACACCTCAAATGATGCCGACGGAACCAGTACTTTAAACGTTCTCTCGGCGCCGATGACCCTGCCCAGAGGCCCCGTGGAAGGCCTGTGAAGGTGCGGGGCCCAGGGCGGATCCATTCTGGGTCTGTGGGATCCAAGGCCCCCAAATCCTCGCGAGCGCGACGTCAAAGAGGGCGCGACGCGACCTCCCAGAAGTGCAGTCCTGCGTGACGTGAGACAGGCGCGACCGCCCGTCCCTTTTCCCATCTCTCCAGCGCGAGGCCTCGCTGAAGCAAACCTCAGCGTGGGAAGGGCGCGGAGAAAGTAAAGCCGGGGTAGAGGAGGCCCGGCTGGCCTTGGCGAGGCCACTACCTAGATTCGCCGGTCCCTCACACTCACCTGCCCATACGGATAGCTGGCCATGGCGACTCTGACGTCATACGTCGGCGAAGGGCGAGGCTTCCTGGCCTCACACCCGCCCCTCGCCCGATCAGGGGGCGGGGCCGTTTCTGATTGGATGTTTGGGGCTGTCAATCCTAGGCCCTTGGGTAAACGGAAGTGACGCTACGCGTAGGGAGTAGGTCCGTGTCTGCCAGAGAGGCCCGAGGAGCTAGGGTTCGGCTGGCAGTTTCTGGAAATTTTGGTCACTGTGCTGGCGCGGCTGATCCCCCCGCCCCCGTTCTGCCCTCGGGGAGGCCCCGGGGCTGGTGAGGCCCGGGTAATAAGAGACGCTTAAGTGGGGTGTTGCCGCGGTAGCCTTGTCAAAACCTGTCAAATGGAAGGTGGGATAGAGGCGTAGTTGTCGTCACTCCCGAGTTTCCAAGGCGGTTGCCGTGACAACGGTGAACCTTTCGAGGTCTCGAAGGGATAGAGGCAAAGGCGGAAGTTCTCTCTAATGCTAAAACACCAAGACCCCAGGCGTTTTGGAGTGCGATCTGTGGTCTTCGGAGAAGAAACTACGGAGCTGCCAAAATGGGAGGAAATTTTATAATATAGGGCCTCTTCCGTGGAGAAACCGAGATCCAGAGTGGCAATGACTCGCCCTGCTATGCAATGTGGACTAGAACTGGTGTCAGTGGATCCCCAGTTCTCAGCAGGAAAGTCTTGAATGGTCTCCAAAGTAGGTCAGATCCTAGTTACTAAGTGACCTAATAAATAGTGTGTACTTCCTTAGAGCTTGGTGGTTCAGGTTGTAGGTTTGATTAACTTGAAATTCTTCCGTGTGCACACGATTGTGTGTTTTTCCTTGTCATTATAGCCTCAGTACTTAGTGCAGTGTCTGACACTTTTTTTTTTTTTTTAACTAAGTAAATGAATAGTGTTAATAGGCGTTACTCATTCCAGCCCATCTCTCTAGCTATCTAGTCAGGCACATTCCAAAATCACAGTGCTGATCATGCTCCTTGCCCACTGAACAGTTCACAATGTTCATCTACCCCTATACTTACAAAGTAAGACCCAACTTCTTATTCTGGCACTCCCAGGCCCTTCACAATTTGGTTCAACTTCACCCTTCCAAACTTAAGCCTTATGGCCTCTGTCTATATTCCTAGGATTCAGTTCCACCATTTAGCATTCTTGCTTTGGAGTGAGGATCTTGATTTTTACCACTTCTAACTGTATGATCTTGGGTAGTTATTTGACCTCTCTGATTCTCAGTTTCCTCAGATTTCAGCTGTTTGTACGAGATTAGAAAAATGAGCTTATTACACCTGCTCATGTCCACACATATGCTCAAACTATTCTTTTCACCGACCAAAGCCCTTGCCTTTCAGTCCTTCAAAGATCAGTTCCAATCCCTTTCTCCACTTAACCCTTCCGTATTCCCCCCGTCTCCAGACTTATCCACCTTCTGGCCTATCTCCTTTTGTACTTGGTACCATCACTGTGTCATATTCTAGCTTGTCTTGCATATGAATTCTGTTTGATATTTCCCCCCAAACCCATTCCTCTCCTCCTTCATCTCACCTAGCTTCTCAGACCCCAAACCTGGCGTCATTCTTGCGTGGCCTGTTTCTCCACATTCTCTCCCTCTTCCATTTGCTCTAGTTCAACAATAGACCCACGTCTTCTCTTTTCTCTCTGTTTGCACTATCACCCTACTCCAAGACACAATCTGTGGCCCAGATCACTACACAAGCTCCCTAGCCAGTATCCCTGCTTTCCTTCTTTCCTCCACACTGTTCTTCATAAGGCAGCTAGAGTAATTATATTGAATGTAAATCAGATCTTAAACTCCACCAAAGGCTTCCATAAGTCATATAATAAAATATCCTATTGGCCTTTGTGACCCTAAATGACCTAGACCCTGCCTGCATCTCTGGCCTCACTAGCTGCCACTGCTGTTCCTCCTGGTTCTCTCCAACCATGCTGGCCTAATCTGCACCCTGGGACTTTCAGAGCTCATTTCCACCTCCGGATTTTTGGGTTAGTTCTTCCCTGGGTCTGGAATGCGCTCTTTTTTGGCTCTTCACTTAGCTGGCTCATCCTTGCCATTCAGGTCTTAGTTCTAGTATCATCTCCTTGGGTGGACATTCATTGACACCACATTTAAAATAGCATTGCCTGTGCGTGTGCACTCTCTCTCTCTCACTCACTTTCACACACACACACACACACACACACACACTAGTCATCTATCATGTCACTGCCTCATTTGTTTTCATATTGTCTCTACTTGAATTATCCTCTATCCCTAGTACCTAAAATAGTGCCTGCCATGAATTTAGTGAAGGTCAGTGTTGATATTGTCCTTATCATCACTATCATCCTGCAGTGAATGCTTACCAGGTGCCAGGCATTGTGCTAAGTACAATGTGTGGTTTCATTTTCACAACAATTCTTTGAGATAGACACTATTACCCATTTATAATGAGGCACTGAGGCGGAGAGGATGAGTTCCCTGCCAGCAAAAGGATAAGTGAACAAGCCAGGATTTCATCCCAGGTTCACCATCTTTTATTTACTCTATATTTTGTAGTTAGTAGGTCTTATGGCTTACCTTTGTAAGCTTCCCCACCCCGACCCTGTTCAAATTGAATTGTAAAATCTCTGAAAGGAAGCAATTTGCAGACTGGGCTGAAGGTCAAGGAATATTTGCCAAGAGAGAGAATAGTGACACCTAGCCTGTAAACTGGGGTAACTGTGACTCACACTCATTTGATTACACAGACTTATTAACCTGTTGAGTTCCTATCACTTGACAGGCAGTACTCTAGGTGCCGAGGATTAAACCCTAGGAGAATTCCATGTCCATAGTCCCCTTGGGTCAGCAGAGGGCTCTTAGGAAAACTTTCTGCTGGATGTCTGTGCTGTTTGGGGACAAGGTCACCCAAATCATTTCTCAGGCAGTCAGATGTCAGCCAAAGACAACGTCCAGGGCCCAGGTGTGTTTATTTTGGGGACAGCCACATAAAAGGGAGATCAGGACTTCTAAAGACTGAAAAACAATCAGTTCATTTCTAAAATCCCAGCTACCTGAGGCAGACAGGGATGGGTGGGGAAATTCCTGTTATTGTTTCAGTTTTAGCCAAAGGGGGGAAACTTGGATTCCAGAACTTTTTGAGCACGGGGCACTTTCCTGATTTCAGGGAAGCCCCGTGATTGATCCATTAGAGGTAAGGGTGCTTGGTAGTGAAAGATCATCTCCCCCAGAGACACATCATGCCCACCCAGGCATCCTGGCTTACCATCAAGCTTCAGTATTGCTTACTGAGAAGGAATGCCAGCACCCATCTAATTATTATGGAATTAATTCTTTAATTCCATATCCAATTCCAAAATTCAAGTTCCATTCAGATGCTGTGGATCAGAGGTGATTTGAAGCTTTCCACAGAACCAACAGAAAAATGGAAATAGCAGAGGTGGCATTTGGACAGACTCCCCTTGGTGATGGGATCACACTGTGAGGAGAGCACCTCAATAAATTGTGTTCTCATAGACTGTTCAGGACAACAGAAAGGTCTAGTCTTGTAGGAGGTTAACAGACCACAAGGGAAGAAAGAATCTAAATAGATTCTGTTCAGTTCTGGCAACAGGGGGAAAAGGCAGATTTAGATTCCAGAAGGCACCAAATTGGGGGGTTTTCTTTGCAGAATAAACATACAGCTGCCTTTTCTCCATCTTATAGACCACAGGGTTACTCAAAATAAGGAACCTCCAATTCATTCTTCACTCTGCTATTAGTGAACTTAAAATTAGACAAACTTGTCTCAGCACGTCTTCATACAAGACCCTCCTTATTTCCCAGTCTCCCCAGCTCACGATCTGCCTTCCAACCGCACTGCAGGTCTCCCATGGCTCAGCTTGCTGCACTCAATCCTGTCTGGACCTTGGTACATGCTGTATCTTCTGCCTACATCCATCTTTATCCAGGCAAGGTCAGGTCCTCAGTCTGGTGCTCCCCTGACACCTGGAACCACCCCATCTTCATTGTAACTTCATTACACTTCATTGTAATTGCTTGTTTAACTCTCTGCTCTCCCCATAGACACCAAAGAGGCAGGGACCACATCTGTCTAGTTTGTCTCTGATTCCCTAGAGCCTAGTACAGTTCCTGGCACAAAGTAAAGAGAGAAAATGGATTCATCAAGTTAGACTTTGCCAATCTGTATGATCTGTGTGTTGCCTTAAAAGCCTGGACTAGACTAAGGAATAAAGATTGAGGATTAATAGGGCAGAAATAAGAAAAAGCTGCTGAGGAGGGAAAGACTTGATGCCCTCCTCCCTTCCTCGCCAGCTTAGCCAGCTCCTGAATTTACCAGCAAAATCTCTGTATTTTTTTTTTTTTTTTTGGCTGACCACAGTAACAGAAGAGACTATAAAATTCAGCTTCCCATCTGGTTCTTCATGGTCCAAGAAAATACGGCAATTTCAACTCCAGAGAGACAAGTGCTCAAATCATGAAAGCTTAAACCTAGCCTGTCGTAGAATCCCCAAAGAGTAGCATGAACTTGACTCAGGAAGAAAAGTGAAGAAAGCATCATTTACTCTGTAAGGATGAATTCCCTGGTGGCCTCAAAGTGGGTGAGTCTGATGTTTCCTCTAACGATTTTCCTCACTGGCCTTCAAAGCCAACCTGCTCCATTCAACAGCTGTTCCTCACTTCTCTTGCTTTCTACTCATGCCAGTCTGCTCCTTATCATGACGCCCATCGTCAGTGAGCACTGCACAGGCTGGGCTGGAGGTGGAAGCTGGACTTCCAGTGGGAGCACTTTAGCATCTGTCCAGAACTGGCTGCCACTTCAATACAGAGATGATGCATTTGCTTTTTAACATTTGATGTTAGAATGGCTGGTGAGAGATAAAATAAGAATTGACTCCTCCTTTATCCAAAAACATCATGTGAGATACTCGGGCAGTTCCCTGAGCCTTCCTGATCTCATTCCTCTGGCCACCTGCACACTTTTGCTCCTGGCATGGAAATAAACAGGGCAACGTTTCTGAAAAGCCATCCAAAGTTTCTGGCCTCCTGATATTTTGGGTCCCAAACAGAGAGAGGATTTTCAGAACTGTGCTGGAAATGGCAGCTCTGGAGAGATTTGACAGCCAGTTTGAAGGCTTCAGGCAGTTTGGATAAGCATCTGGACTCGGGGTACATTTTTGAGCCTGATCTACAAGCCTTTTGAAGTTTATCCAACTTAAATAAACTTTCCAGAAAGCTGGGACCAGTAAAAAGGCTTTCTTTGGAAGTCCCTCTGGTTGTGTCCTGTTGCTTTCTCACAGGGCAGCCAGCCTATCAGGACAAGAGATTTGAAAAGTAGAGAAACAGAAAGCTCAAGGCTGTAACAGTCAATTTTCATCTCCTCCCTGCTCCTTCCTACCCTTTAACATACAGAGACAGTGACAGCAGATAGATCATCAAGCTCCAGGTCTCTGGACCACGAGCTGAGACCTGATGGTGGCTTGCCCAGGACCGCCTTAGTACAAGCCATTTCTGAAGGCCTAGGCTGAGGCACAGGAAACATCACCCAGGCTAGATTAGCCAGAACAGCCAAAGATGCCATTTGCAGTTCAGGAGAGCTGGTGACAGCACTGTGCATTGGTACAGGCAGAAGGTTCCATCTCATTTCCCGGAGAAGCATTCCCTGGTCGCCTAGGCCAGGGCTGGAGTCTGTCTCTCTCCTATTTGCACAGGTTTTCTCATCACAGAATTACTGGAGCAGCACGGGAGGCCGCATGCAGGCAGACAGATGGATGCACTGCAGCAGCTGGGTGGCATTTCCTGAGGTGCAACCTGACTTCGGGTCACGCATGAGAAGTGAAGGCAGCGGGTGGGATCCCAAACACTGGGGGTCTCCATCTATAGGGAGACAAGTAGGGAGGGGCCTTTATGAGACCGAAGTGGGGTCTCCAAACTGGCTTTTGGCTCACTCTTCAGGAGATTCAAGGTGGAGCCACTCTTCTGATGTTGAAAAATGTGCTGTGGAGAACAAGACACAAGTTCCCCAGGGCCAAGGATGACCCAGAAGCATCTGGAAAGGCGAGCTGAGTTAGGAATCCCCGTAGAGCAACATCCCTTAACTGCAGTGGTTGACCACAGACAATGAAGGAAATGCCCGTTTTGGGTTTTGTTTTTTTTTTACTCAAGAACCAAAAGACAAAAGCAAGATGACAGGGAGATGCAGCTGCAGCACCAGAGAAACCCCACTGGAAGTGGGATTGCAGGTAGTTTTGTTTGTTTATTTATCAATAAAAAATATTAACAGCAATTAAAAAATTAAAACATTCACAACCCATCACAGAGTCCTGTAAGTTTTAGCCATGTGTTCCCAATGGGTCCTTCATCTAACGGAGATGGTGACTTCAGCCAAAAGGCCCCTTCATGCTTTTCATGGGTGGGTACTGCTGCTCCACTGGCATGGCCCCAAAGCAGTCAGAGGGGGTACAGTGGCCAGCCTTGCCCGGCTGGCCCATGGGGCCTGGGGGGCCGGGGATGCCAGGGATGCCTTGCTGGCCCATTGGCCCAGTGGCACCCATCTTGCCATACCCTGGAGGACCCTGAGGACCTAGAGAGGGAAGAGTCAGAGAAGGAAAGTCAGGAGGCACAGATCCCAGGGGAAGAGATTAGACCCTACATTTGATTACTATTCCTCCAGTCACATGTTATCCTGAAGACCTCATCTGATTCTGACATTAATTTCATAAGGGCAGTGATAATACTGGCTCATTTTATTGAGAGTTTCCATGTGCCAGGCGCGAGGCGAGTGCTTTTTAATGCATCATTCATTGAATCATCTCAACAGCTCAGTGTGAAAAGAACTATTATCTCATTTTTGGAGAGGAGGACACAGGCTCGAGCGGTGGTACATGTGGAGATGATGAAGTGGAGCCAGAACCGGGTCGTTGGGCTCTGGTTTAGGCTACACAGCCTGGCTTCGGTGACCTCAACCAGGTCTTCCAGCTGGTAAGATGTTGAGCAAGATTTGAACTGGCCTCTCTACATTCGACTCTCTTCCACCATAGGCTGTTCACCCCATTTAAGACTTCCACTCCCCCTGCACAGGGTCTTACATACAGTGGCATTAGCTATAACGTTGTTTGATAGGTCTATTGTTATTTGAGGTTCTACCCAGCAATGCTGTGGAAGGTCCACAATAAAAGGGGGCTGAGCTATTTTACACGCATGGTCTGATATGTTGGCTTTTCCTACCTGGGGGGCCAGGGAGACCATTTTCTCCTGCAATGCCAACGCCAATGTCCCCCTTTTCACCTTTGGTACCGGGCATTCCTGGAACAAAAGAAATAAAATAAGTCCCATCCCTGAGCAGAATGACATACCCAGTCGGATTATTTGAACATACACACATGCGAATATATACACATCAGGCCCCTGCAATACTCATGTTTGCTCCGAAGAGCTGTACATGCACGTTGGGAACAAGAGCCCAGAGTTACCTCTCATTCCTGGCAAGCCCTGCCGTCCTTCTCTGCCAATTTGACCAGGGAGTCCAGGTGACCCCGGAGCGCCTGGCCGGCCCGGAGCACCATCCTTTCCTGGCGGCCCTGGTCGTCCAGGAGATGCTGCCATCTCCATGGGGAACTGCATCCTGGAGGTGTAGTAAGCCATCCTCTCTGTGAGAGAGGACAGGGACAGTCACAGGGTGCCCTGGGGACCCAGAATGACTGCAGCTGCTGCAGACAGGCCACCAGTCTGACACAGCATTTCAAGGTCGACTTCCCAAGCAAGGTGTCTGACCCCTTCAGGACAGGGTCTGTGTTTACCCCCGTCCCTAGCACAGTGGTGTTGGAGGAACAGGTGAACAGGAAGAAAGCTTATAAGCCACACCAGCCATCTTACAGATGCTGCTCGCCCCTCTATTTAGAGCTCACTCCATGCAGACTCGTTTGATATCAATTTTCTTGTCTGTCTCCTTTGTTCCAGTGGGGGCTCGGGGAGGGCAGGAGGGAATCATTTTATCTCTGAACAGAACAGGTGACCAGGAAGGTCTGAAGTCTACTTGAACAGAAGCCTGTAAGTGGGCGGGAGCAGGGGTGAGTCGGGAGGAGTTTGAAAAGGAGGCCAGGGTGGGGCGGAGAAGCAGCTGGGAGGGACAAACAGCACCCACTGTCACCCAGCCGTCTGGCAATTACCATCAAACATTTTAGTGATCTCTTGTCTGATGAACCTCTTGATTTCATCATAATTCACCATGTCTCCCTAAGGAAAGAGAAGAAAACCTGCCTCAATTAAACTTCCCAGCCTGGTGCCCTCCCTCTGGGAATAGACTTTATGGAAATAAAGGATGGGGAGGAGGGCAGACACTTAACCCAGTGTCCTAACTCCTCTGGAATGGTACAATATATTTTGTACATCAGTACATTTTAGGGGAAAGAGGGGCCCCCCATTTCACCACACACACAGGTGAAAAGCCATCCATAAAGGAGTCAGGCTCGTTTCGGCAGTGTCAGCAGTAGCTTCTAAAATGTCCATGCTCCTCCCACATGCCTGCTTGTGAGACAGCCTCCCCCTTACCATGGAGCCAGGCACCCCGGGTAATCCGGGGCTTCCTGCAGGGCCCGGAGATCCAGGGTGGCCCCTCTCTCCTGCAGGACCTGGCGGCCCAACAGGCCCCATGGAGCCACTCTTGCCAAGCCCACCAGGACTGCCAGCTCGTCCCTTCTCTCCTGCTTGGCCCTTCTGTCCTGAAGGCCCAGGATCACCCTACAAGAAAAGGAAGTCAGTCCAGCATTGTCGAGAACTGTCCAATCAACCTCATGATAATCACAGCAGTCTGCCCTTTTCTCTCCATCACCCCCCCATACCCACCCCAGAATCTCCTTCTGGACTGTGGTCAAAGCCTCCTGACAGCTTGCCTCTTCTCACTGCCCCCAGAATGGTCCTTTTAAAAGACAGTTCTCCTGGTGTTACTCCTGCTTAGAAGATTCCGATGGAGCCCAACTGCTTTCAGGATAAAGGCCTAATTCCCTGGCCAGGCATTCAGGATCACTTACCATGTAGCCCTGATCACATCCTCTCCAGCCTCATAGCCCTGCCCTTGCAGCTCCAGCCAGACCTCCCTGGTTGCAGTTCTCTTACTCATTTCCTCCCTCCCTGTGAGCGCTCCCCCCTCCCAGGGCACTCCTCCTACTCAGCAGAAATGCTTCTGTTCTTTGTCCCGCTTCTCTAACTCCCAGGCTGAATTGGGTGTTTCTCCCCTCTGCTCCCACAGTGCTGTGTCTAGTTTTGTGGGTTTTTTCCCCATACTCTACTGTGTGACTGGACTTAATGAACCCTATTGTTCAGGGACCTCTGTTCAGCCAAGCCTGGGACAGAGCACCTGGAATATAAGCAAGATCAAGCAGAGGGTTGTAGAAGGAGCCAATCAATCAACCCACCAATGATTGAATCAAGTGCATTTCCATTCTCCCAACCAGAGCTAAGTTCCCAGGATCAGCCCCGTGTAAGACGTTTAGAGATGAGCTTGCCCGAGGTCTGTCCACTCTCTCTCTGCCCACTGGACTTCCTGGGTCTCCTCTCCACCACTGAAGTCAGCAGCTAGGCTTAGCCAACTCACAGGCTTCTCCTCTCAGATCCACCAGTGCCCACTCACCTTTGGGCCAGGAGATCCATAGAGTCCCTGTTTTCCAGGAGGCCCCTGAAGGAAAGCAAAAGTCAGAGGTTAAGTCTGGGAGGGACCTCCAAGCCATCCTGGGGAGGCACCAAGGAGGACCATCTTCCAGAGGCTCTGGGCCATGTCCTGCTGGGCTGTGTGTGAGCACGACAGCTGGAAGGGGGAGTCATGTCCCCTCGGGCCTTGCCTTGTGTGATCATGTTGGTTGGGTCCCTGGTCACAGACAAAAAGAGGTGAGAAGTGAGAATAAAAGGGCCAGTCTGGTGTACTGGATGGCCCCGCAAGAGCAGGTGGCCTGGAAATGTTTGGAGTTTATTATTATTGGCTCTTTTTCAACAAGTACATGGTTAAAAAAAATAGTGAAGACAGTTTTGCTCAAATCCTGGTCCCTTAGTCCCCAGCTCCCCTCCCCAGAGGACAGGGGCACAGTCTTCTGGGTGTCTGTCCAGAGATCATCTGTGCATTCAGGGAACGCTTACTGAATGAATGGAGGGGTTTGGGGAGGGGGAGGCAAGGAGCAAGACGCTTCTCCAAGGGAAAAGAAGCAGCACAGCACAACAGTACCTCTTTGCCAGCTGCGCCGTCCGCTCCAGGCTCACCCTGAGGAGAGAGTGATGGAGATGTGATGCGAGTCACCCAGCTGGCGGCACCCGCTTGCCTGGGCACCAGGCCACCAGCCCCCCTGCTCCACCAAGAAGCCAAGATCCTCCCCTTCTGCTCTGACACTCTCGGGTCATGGAAACTTAGACGCCCACCCCACACCCCAGCCTGGCCCCAGGGCCCCACATGGAAGCTCCTGTAACCCTCCCACTCCAGCTCTACTGGGAAGAGCACACTGTACCTGCCTCGCCCTTTGCTTGAGATCCTGGCATCTCACACACTCCTCTGCATGTATGTTCAATGTTTGCCCAGAGGAGGCATAAACTGTGAACCTCTGTCTGGGTTGAGCGTCCAGAAATTAGCCAGGGTGAGCCTGAGTCTGCTCCCTCCCCCAGACAGGAGAGGTGTCTCCTAACCCAGCGCGGTGCTGGTGGGATGCCGGGAGGAGGAAGCTGTGATTGCACAGCTGGCAGGCTCATCCCAGGCCGGAGGCTCCTGGGCTATAAGCAGGGGACACTGAGGCTTGAAGGAGCTGCTTAGGGTTCATTGTAGAAACCTGAGTAGGAGGCGAGACTGGGCCTTCCCCGCGGATGGGCTGAGTCATCCATCACCCCTGCACTGGCTGGACTCATCCACCCCTTTGCAGGCCACCAGCCCCAGGCCGTTGCCACTGCTCCAAGAAGAAAGCAGGCTGTGGTGGAAAGCCCTCTGACCCAGGGGTTCCTGCTCAGCACCCCATAGACTGGCAATCCATTCCCCCTGGTGCAGCCTGTTGCCTGGGGCCTTTGGAAGAGGAGTTGAGCAGAGACGTGCGCTCTGCCCACCAGCGGCGTGTCATGAACAGCCCACTGGGCCTTGCGGACCATCAAACCTACTCAGTAAGGTCGTGGTGCAGATTAAGTGACAAAATGTCACACTTGGTTCACTCTTTGGCATTCATCAGTGACCAATATGTCACAGCTCTTAGTGTTAAACATTAGTGAGACTGAGGAGCGATTCCCGAGTTGCTGAGAAAGCGACAGTGAAAGTCCCGCGTTTCTGGTTCCTGAC